TTGTTGCTTGCTGCTACAAACATAACACAAAGTCCAACCCCAAACTCATTACTTTTAGTAAAGATTTTACGGCAGTTGCAACACAGTCACAACAAGTATAAACGCCGAAGATTAGAGGTGTCACTAGAGAATAACATAATATATGAAAAGAAGGAGGAGAGATTATAAGGGAAACAGGTTATGTTTGACAGGACAGACAGAGCAAACCACACCAGAGCACCCTTCAACCACACCTCACAAACTCTACAGACCAACACTACTATTATATATTCCAAATCTAGTCCCTCCTGAATCTAGGTCAACTTACATTTGTGCCAGACACCTCTCTCTGAAGACATCTGAAGTCCAGTTTGTCATGAACTGTTCAGCCATACCAGCCATCATGTCAGCACTAGGTCTTCTCTCCATCCTGACGTCACTGTGTGCGTGTGTGTTAGCGAGTGAGTGAGCGAGTGAGTGAGCGGGTGAGCTAGTTCGCTTCTCAAACTTGTGCGGGTATTTCCGATCGCTGGGTCGTAGCAGCTAGCAGCTATCTTCCTCTCGTGGCGAAGGCCTCTCGTATTATGACGCTCCAATCGATCGCTCGTCCTGTCCCTACGTCTCGCTTTTTCCAGCTATCGTTGTTGGCCCTCGGGAGAATAGATTCTTTTTATCCTTTTTTATCCTTGTTTTTATCCTTTTGTGTCTTCTGTTTTAGCCTTGAGCTGTGTCACGTCACGTATCTCCCTCCTTCAGAAGTTGCTCGGGATATTTTTTTTCAAGATTCGTGAACTTGGTCGGTAATCTCTGCTGGAATGTTGCTGCTTCTTTTCTTTCTGTCTTCGCCGACTTTCTTCTGTCCCATAGAGGTGTGGGGGAAGAGAGTTTGAGCGTCGAAACTTTCAACAAAAACTGTTCCCGGATTCAAAAAATATCCACGGATGCGTTACCTGTGACAAAAAAATAGAAAGAGAAATAAAGGTAATTAGACAACACAAGTTAGACGGTGAAAATTGTTTTTGATACAAATAATAATATTATAGTTGAGTCTTAGTTAAAGATGAGACAGTAAGACCAGGCATGCACTGCACCACGAATGTACCAGGATAACGGTGACACTGTATGATGATGATGATGATGATGATGATGATGATGATGATGATGATGATGATGATGATGATGATGATGATAACCACAACAACAATAGCAGCAAAACAACAACCACCCACTGACTACAAGTTTGATACGGAAATCATTGATTTAACAAAACAATATCACTTTTCCAGCCTTACCCCTAATCCCAACCCTAATCTATCCTGTACTAAATAAACGTACGTACTACCGAACAGTACTCTTGGAACTAAAACCGGAGATTGTCATAACCCAAACCCTAACCCTCAACCTTAACCGTAACCCTAATCGATAGCCCTAGCACTAACTCTAACCAATAAAGTCAGTACTGATGCCCCAGTACTCTTCGGGCAAAACACGGAGATCACAAACCAGAAATCCTCTGACTCTGAGACTGAGGCCACGGCAAGGGAACGCCTCATCACACACAACTCCATGGACCAGATCGGACGGCGAGAGTGGTCATGTTGCGCTCCGTTGCATGGGACACTGGACACGGCATGGCATAAGTATAAATTACCTCCTATCTCCTCTTCCAGAACCGGTTGGGGGCACCGTTGCAGTCAGGCTCATTTCTCTTTCTTCCCTCCTTTCTTTCATAAGTTTGCTTTAACTATCCGTCTGGACCTAGGTCTGGACTAACAACCACTCCCCT